AAAACTCCCTAAAATCCAGCCCCTCTCATCCCCCCCCCCACCCGGCCGCAGGACGGAGCAGCTTTGGGGACAAGGCACCACGGAATTTTTGATGACGTTAATTTCTTTGATGCCTGGTTACGGGGAGCTGGGCCCCCGGGGAGGGCAAGGGCTGGGCCACATCCCTCGCCCGCGAAGCCCCCCAGCCCGGGGTCGAACCAGCACCGCAGACCTGGAGAGACCCGGGAGATGGAGAAAAAGAAAAGAGAACAGTAGTTAAAAACAAATCTCATAGAAAGTGATCCGTCCGCAGCGATGCACGGGGCAGCGGGAAGGGCTGGTGGGCGGCTGGGGCACCCTGGCATCCCCGCCACGAGGGCAGAGGGACAATCCGCTGAGGCTGGTTCCCCCCCCTCGCTGTGTGCGGGGAAGGCAAACGGCTTTTCCAGGCAGCGCCTGGGAGAGCGGCTCTCGCCGCAGCAGGGAGCTGCTGCTGCCGCTGCCCCGTCCCGATGCCGGCACACCACCGGGACGGCTCAGCTGGCAGCTCCCGCTTCTGCAGCTCGTGATTTCCTCCAGAAGAGCTCCCCGGGGTGGCTCTCGGCGAGGGAGGATGGAGGTGAGCACATGTGTCTCGGTGCCCTGCCAGCCCCAAAATGCCGCCACCCAGCCCACCGCCTCTTCCAAAAGCACCAGAGACCTCTTGGTCACCTCCTTCCTCGGCTGCATCCCGGCCACCACGTGCATGGTTGGGGCGGTGGGAAACATCGACACGCTGGTGGCCTCCACGGGGTGCGCTGGCTCCACGTACGTGTACGTCGTCAACTTGGCCCTGGCCGATCTTCTGTTCTTACCCACCATCCCCTTCGACACCCTGCGCAGGTTGAGGGACCACCGGTGGGCGGCCCCCTGCCCGCTGTGGCTGGTGGCCTTCCTCCTCGCCCTCCCCGCCATGATCCTCATCGACCTGTGCACCGGTCACCGCCGCAGGGTGACCAAGCACATGTGCCGCCCCACCTGGCAGACGGGAACCTGCGAGGCGTATCTCACCGTCCTCTCCAGCACCTGCATCCTCGCCCCGGGCATCATCGTCTGCTGCTCGTACACCAAGCTGGCTAGGAGCTACTGGAGGTCCCAGCAGGCTTTTGTTCTCAGCATGGAGGAAACCAGCCGATGTCCCAAGCGGAAGGTCCTGTGTATGATCTCCAGCACCGTGCTCGCTTACTGGACTTGCTTCCTGCCCTTCTGGCTGCGGCAGCTCTTCGGCATCTCTTGGTACGAGCAGGGGGACCGGGGTGGCACCGCCGTCGTCTCCATCAACTTCCTCGTGACCCGCCTGGCCTGCAGCGGCAGGCGCCACCACACCCTC